AGGAAAGAACATGTATTTAAAGATGTATTTGTCTGCATTATGTTTTCATTTTATGTATTTTAGGGATCGTTTCTAAAAATTCTTGCCTGTAACCCCATTTATATACATACTTGTAATGTTTCTGTGCATTATTAAAAACATATTTCATGGGGCTGGAGAGATGTCTCAGTTGTTATGGGAGCATTGGCTGATCTTGCAGAGGACCTGGGTTCAATTCCTAGCACCCGCAAGACAGGCTCACACCGTCTGTGACTCTAATACCATGGCATCCAATGCCCTCTCCTGGCTGCTGGGAGTACTGCATTTATGTGGTACACATACATTCATGCAGGAAAAACACTCAAACAAACACATATATTTTTAAATGTCTTAAAGAAGTGAACTAGCCCCAAGATCTAGTAGGCCATACCCATTGGTAAAGTCCGAACTAGAACTATTAGATTGGATCTCGTGTGTGTGTGTGTGTGTGTGTGTGTGTGTGTGTGTGTGTGTGTGTGTGTGTGTGTGGTGTGTGTGTGTGTGTGTGTGTGGTGGTGTCTGTGTGTGTGTGCTGGTGTGGTAGGTTCATTTTTAAAGCACATAGCAAAAACAGATGATGGGAGCAAATACATATTATTAAAGAATGAAAAGTTTCTTAGGTATGCTATTATTTTGTTCAAAATATGCTTTTGAGAGATGTTCAACAAACAAAGTTGATTTGCAAGAAGTATGTTTTTCTCCACTCTGCCACTGAGTAGCATGACCTATTTCTCTAGGGTGACTCATTTTCAGAAGACCTGGAATCAGAGAGTTACAAGATGTTACAGAGATAAAGTTGTGACATAGACAAAGCTGAGCTAGATGACTTCCCTTTTGTTTCCTGTTGCCCCTTTCAGTATCCCACCAATCCTGTAGACTGCCCAGGTCTTTCAAGCCATGTAAGCAGGAAATTAAATCATTAACATTAACACTTTAGCATGCATTTGCTAAAACTGCCCTTATTTGCTTTTGAAAACTGTTGAGTTCTGCAAGCAGTGCATCTTCCTTACTCTGAAATAATGTAGAGAGCCTCTGAGGGCTTAGTGTTGTCTACCTGTAACAATATTTGAATCTTATGCCTAAGTCTAGAGGTACATTAATATTAAAATGCACATGTATGTTTATATGTCTATTTAGAATAAATTAACATACCCAACTTGTGATAGTTACTGCCACTATTTTTTATTAAAATGTGCATGTCAATATTTAAATTATTTAGCTTATCTAAGTTTATGATAGGCATTGCCAATGCTTCTTCCTTCATTTTTTTGCAATGAATTCATAAATCTTCATGAATTTATCTTATTGCGCCTTAAATCTTAAAACAGTTTTAATTTGTCTTGTTCAGCTGTTCACAACAAAGTGTGTGTTCTAAAGGTAGGAACTGGCATTAATGTTTTATAAACTAAATACTTCTAGTGGAGAAATACATAAATATTGCTGGAAATGTTGATCCCATTTATTTCAAATCAGTGTGTTTATTCCATTGACATCAACATATAGTCCCTAGGAAGAATTTAAATGAGATTTACAGTTTCCTACTGGAAAGAGACCACACACCTACCTCTGCCTTCCAAAGTCTCACAACAGGAGAGCCCTTCTGCTGCCCAGAGATTTCTTCTGTCAATCACACGGTGCATCTTTTCCTCTATGTGCCATGTTATGAAGAATGCAAAGTTCCTATTATGGTTTAGTGCCATACAGACATTCACGGCCAATATACATTTTATTGGGATTTTTGTTATAATTTAAATTTTGGATCAGTTTTTAGATTAAAGTATTTTCTCCTTGTGTTAAGATTTTGCCTATTTAGTCTAAAGTAAGTAAATGTTAAAAGCACAATACCTTGAATTTTTACACACTCATGCAGCTATCACTCAAATAAAATCATAAAACATATCCTGGATTCTAGAAGATTCCTATGTACTTACTCCCAGGTGGCACCCCCTTGGTGCTAATTGCTCCTGTGACAGAGATTGGTTGGATAATTATCACATAAATGGAATAGGTAGTATGTATTTAGGGGAAATTGCACTTACCCTACTTATTTTTCCTCAAGATGCAAACATTTCTATGTATCAAGTTAAATAGATTTGTATTCTTATCCAGTTATTTTTTTTTATTACTTCTAGTTAGGGAACAAGCTTATTTCAAGTCCCTT